TTCGCAATAAAATAATATCGCTTTGGAATGATGTGGTACAAAGTTAGAACAACTTGGAACAATTTTCAAAAATATAATTTTCAAAAATGGTGGGGTTAACTTCATGTACACGGCTAGCAGATGAACAATGCTTATGAGACAGACAAGTGATCACGTCGGCTGAAACATTGTACGCTAATAAACGTTTTCTTTTCTGTTTTTCTTCATTTCTCGCGATCTTGTTAAAAGAGTACTTTATCATCATAACAAAACCCTTACATTATTAATAGCCAAAATCACGACAAATTGTTTTACACAAACATTGTTTTACAGAACTTCACGATCCAATATTTTGCACAAATACAAGTATTTTTTATTTGCAATTTCTCGTACTCTCAGCCTTCCATGTATGTACAATATATATTATTCACATATAGAGATTAATTATATATTTTCATTTTGTATGACATAAAATATGACTGCACTATTTAATAAACGTAGGATCGACAACATTCACGATTCTAAAACTCGCGATTCAATTAATTATCACTAAATCATATATATGATATATATCATATATATGAAAACTTACCCAGCAAACACAGAATATAACTGTTATATAACATAGGAGTAATATATAATATAACATATGTTATACTCTAGTTATATTGAGGCAGGGTTGTGAAGTAACGCGTTATTTGTAACGCCGTTACTAGTATCGTTATTTTTTTGAGTAATGATTAGGTAACGCCGTTACTTTTTTGTGTCAGTAACGAAAAAATAACAGTGATACATTTTTTTGTAACGAGTAACAAAATATCCGTTACTTTAATCGTTACTTTTTAATTTTTATAAAATTAAACTTAATTGTATTTAATTTCTATGCATTTTTGTTTTATGCTGGATTTAGTGAGGACCAATAAAGATGGATTCACATATTGTCATCCATTGGCCGTAGCTATATATTAGGTGTGTAAATTAATTTGGTCCATCTGGCGGTCAATTGCTGTACTATGTAATTTTCTAACCTCTAATGTCTGCAAAAAGCTTTATTTTTTAATTTTGATATCTAGCAATAATATTCAGTTGGTAAACGTTTGGGTTTGTAACAATAACATCGTGATTATCTGATTCGAAAATGTCGAAATTTGAGCCAAAAAAGAATCATTTCCTCCCGGAAATGGGGATACCTATCGACCTTTGGAAATTTCAAAATTATTAAATTAAGAAAAGTTAGGTCACTATTATAGTAGTATATTCTTGATAGTAAATAAATTAAAAAGTCTAATACTATTTTTTCTTTCGAGGAATAGTTAGCGAGATATCGTAAGGTAAATGTTGGAAAAGTTATCAAGTTCTCCTTAAATATCTCACAATATATTAAGCAAATAAAAAAATGTTTCAGACAAAAGTTGTTCAAATTAATTGGTGTAAAAAGATGATATAATAAAAAATTTGGATTTTCATTTAAGAAAGTTGATAATCAGTAAATATCTCGAAAATGGAGCCATCTATAAACAAAATGCTATCGCTGCCTTATGTCCCCCTTCAAGCCAAACAACTTTTGTCTTAAGTATTTTTCGATTTAACGCAGTGTTTCTGAGATACTTGAGTGAGTCCTTTAAAATGGGACACCCTGTATATATATATATATATTTCTAATCGTCTTATGTCCGATTTATATCTTGTCTTAGCACCTTTCTTATTAGCCTGGATTTACAACAAAAAAAATAACGGAAAGTAACGAAATAAAATATCGTTACTTTCAAGTAACGGTAACGGTAACGAGTTACTTTTAAAAAGTAACTTTCCATCCCTGTATTGAGGTTATATAATTTGGTTTCATAATTGTAATATTGTGTTATATATCTGTTACATTGTTTTATTATAAGCTGGAGATAACATTATAATAATAATATAACAGTAATGTAACACGTTATATAACAGTAATTACGTTCATATTACATTGATATTATATAACACAATTATTCATGCAATCCATTAAAAGCTGCAAATGCTTTTTATTGCGAATAAGGGTGTATTCCGATAGAGAAAGAAATAGCAAAGTGGAATAGTAACAAATAAAAGAAATGGTAGGAGACTAATCAATCAGAAATTCCGTTCCGCTTTTTTGTGGATGCTTTGTTGTATAGTTTTATGTATTTCTGTATTTTTAATGCCTTCATCGCGTTTAAGCAGACTATATTGCCTATTTATATTGACGTTTATAATGTATGCTGATATGTATTGGGTGAGTGCAAAAGTTCGTGCGGAACTTTTGTGAGTAAAAGTCACACAGTGATTAGGCAAACAAAAATCTTTATTCAATCAATGATATATTCTCCATCGTTTTCTATAATCTTTTCCCAACGTTCTGGCAGCATACGGATGCCTCGATCATAAAAATTGCGCGGTTTAGATTCGAAGAACGAAGAGACGCCGTTTTTTAAGGTCTCCAAAGAGTCAAAGTTTTTTCCATTTAAATAATTTTGCAATGACCGGAACAAGTGATAGTCAGATGGTGCGATATCAGGAGAATACGGTGGATGCGTTAAGACATCCCATTTCAGGCTCTTCAGTTTGCGCAGCGTCTTTTTCGAAACGTGTGGTCTGGCGTTGTCGTGATAAAAGACGACTCCCTTGCGATTTGACAAAATCGGACGTTTCTCTTTTATTTCTCGATTCAGATTGGTTAATTGGCGACAGTACTTGTCCGAATCAATCGTTTCGCCAGCGGGGAGAAGCTCGAAATAGATTATGCCCTTGCAATCCCACCAAACAGAGAGCATCACCTTCATCGGGTGCAAACTGGCCTTTGGCGTTGCGTCACCATGCTCACCTGATTGTTTCCATGTCCGTTTGCGCTGAACATTGTTGTAGAGGACCCATTTCTCATCGCCCGTCACTAGTCGATCCAAAAACGACTCGTTATTGAGTCGCCCGAGTAAAGAAACGGCTGCAGAAATTCGCTTGATTTTGTTCTTCTCGGTCAGCAAATGGGGCACCCATATATCGAGCTTCAAATCGAATCCCATCTTTTTTAAACGCCGAAAAGCGGTTGATCGGTCAACGTTTAGTGCTGTAGCAACTTCTTCTGTTGAAATTCGCGGATTATTGAGCACTAAAGTACGCAAAACATCGTCATCAATGTCAGAAGGTCGACCAGAGCGTGGCTCGTCTTCAAGGTTAAATTCTCCGCGCCGAAATTTAGCAAACCATTTTTCCACAGTTCGTTTAGCTGGTGCTTCATCCTGAATGTTTTTTACGGCTGCGGCAACGTTTATTCCCTTTCGAAACTCGTAAAGCATAACATGCCGTAAATGCATCTTATCGATACTCATTTTTAAAGTGATATTTCTCGAAGCAGTTTGTATGAAAACAAATGATTTTTTTTTTAATAACAGCTGAAGACGTCACCTTTCCAACGTTATATAATATGTAGATGGAAGTATTAATGACAACACTTTACGACGCTTATAACTCCATCTATTGAAACTCCGCACGAACTTTTGCACTCACCCAATATATCCCCACTAAAACGTACATTGAATCCACGTGGAACGCACGTTGTATTCACGTGGAATCTACAAAACCACATGGATTTCACATGGATACAATGTTTCCGTTTTCGTGGGGATATCCACACTAAACTATTTAAACATTTAAGAACGCTTGTATATTATACAAAACTCATTATACAAAACAGAGAAAAATTTCTTTAGGTTTAATATTCTTACTTGTTTGATTTTGAGTTGTTTCATTAAAATATTATATTTTTATATCATTTTTAAAAATAAAAACTCTATTTCATTGAAAAAAACCATGTTGATGAAAAACAGGATTTGAAATAATAATTTTCAAGTGTTTTTTACATTTAGTAATAAAAATTTTTTATTTAGACTCCTTTGAATTTGTTTCAAACTATTTTTTTGTGGGTTAATCATTATAATACTCCATTGTCAATAATTTTGAAACATAGCCTATACTGATATTTGTCGCACATCGAATGTTGTTGCGTTGTTTTAATTTTTGAAAAGAAAGGTTATAATGTTCTGTGAATATTGTAAGAATATATTATACTAAATACAAGTTACAAGAACATCGTCGGAGTCATTAGAATAACTGCGTGCCACTCGATTGTTAGGTTAAGCAGAGCCTAGCGCGGTCAACATATGGATGGTGTGACCGCTTGGAATTCGAAGCTATTGACAGACGCAAGACACGAGAAAATTAGTAGTAACTTTTTTATATTACAGTTATATAACAGCTATATAACATTTTAGTAACATGTAATATTTCTGTTATATAACTGCAACTTTTTATATGAGTGAGAAGTTACAACTAACACGTATATGCTTGTAACGTACACGTTATATTACATATTACATTTCATTACATTACGACAATGTAACTGTTATGTAACTGTGTTTACTGGGTACACAATAACTCTCATTGTCGAATGACCAAAAATGTATATAAATTTGTCTGTTGTATAGTTTTCTCTTATGCAAAATTAAGGAAATTTAAAACCTGTAATTGTATGAGCTTTTCATATAAACAACGTTAAAGAACTATATCTGTTATTTCAATTATATATTTTGTTCATGATTACAAATCCCCAATGGCTTTTGTGGCTGGTCGCTCCTCTTGCGATTAATCGCTACTCTCAATGTGCTTTTAATAGGCATAACTTACTTTTATAGATTCAATATTTATGTTACGGAGCTTTGTAATTAGATGGATACTGGAATTTACAATATAATGTATTTTGTTCAGTATAAGAGAATTATAAACACAAAGCTGACAAAACTTGGAAAACTTTGGAAGGTTTTTGACACGGTAAAAAGCAAACGTCTGACGCAATTAAGTAAATTATAGACATTGAACACAATACATAACAAAGCGTTACGAAAATATTGACAAAGAAGCGAAATCTTTATGGAGTTCTCACACACAAGTTATCGTGGCCGTTCAGCTATGTTTGGCTCGTTAAAATATTCGGTCTTTGCTTCTATGTGAAGATAACATCGGAGAGCAATTCGATTTCGCTGAGAGTGAACAAATTGGGGCTGCAGGCCGCCTAGCCGAAGCTTTGAGGCGTCTTTCGCTAGTTTTGCCACGTAGCTGCCATGGAAATTGTCATGCTTCCCCTCCCTATGTTCGAGGTATCTAGAATATTATCACCGTCATTCATTTGTGTGAACGTATTCGATTCTGATAATATATGAAATATATATACTACATACATACGTACTTACATACATACATACCGATTGTACAAAACTCAAAGTGAATTGGAATATGTCGTAGTGATCATTGCGCTGTTGTTACCTCTGCGTACAACTATTCACTCAACATACACGACCATTACCAAGAGAGCTACGTCAAAAGACACAGCCGTGTTTATTTATGGATTTTTTCTTCTTTTTTCTTGATTTTGCGTGAAGCTATGCGAGTATATTCAGCAGCTGGCTTTTATCATATTTTCGATACTAATATCGAGCAACATTCTACATTCTAGTTCCGGCGACTCCGACAGCAATACGATGCTATTTACATGAACTGAATTCAGGAAGTAGGATAAAGATGACATGTGTCAAAAGTACAGTAGATATCGTCACATTGCCTATCGGATGTGTAATAAACTGTCACACATTGCGACATGCATTTATATACATATACATATATATATCTCATATATATATATATATATAATGGTGCACCAGTTTTTTTGTTTATGGATGTTATTTTGTTATACTGTTTACGTTTTAGCATGTATGTATGTCTCGCTTCTCGCTGCATGCACTGTCATTCAGCCCACTGGATGCTATGAGATTCCATGATGCTTATCACACTCTACTATGCAGTGAAATGAAGTTCAAGAACACTACTGACTAATTCTCCCTATCGTGTGTGTGTTCTACAAACCCATCGTAAATAATCGATGGTAAGAGATGTGATTTATTCTTGAATGATAAACAGACTCGTTACCGGATGTTGTTGTTCGTAAATTATTCTTGAGTATAGACTCGTTGCTTTCTCTCTCGAGTAACTTACGAATCTCCTTCTTCGACACTTGTGCGCAAAATTTGCGATGCATTCGTTGTCATATTAACAAGGAAAAAACCGGTAAAACATAATGATAAATGGTTATGATGGCTTACACACGGAATTGCTGATTAGAAGGTAAAATCATTGTAAAAGTTGTATCGAATGTCATGTTATTCATGATACTAGAAATGCTTCTCGATAGATACCATTAATGTTATCTGAGTAATGGCTGCAGAAGAAAAGGAAAACATTTTTTTATCGCACATTTTAATCTAGAGATGCGCTCGACGGAAGAAGATCTATTACGTTTAGATTTTACGGTTTACCCTCTTTCCGTTGTCTACCTTATGTTTCGATGGTGTTGTAACGTGCGAAGTGACCTTCATCTGTTCACAGCGCGGAGCATATCAGAAGAATTCAGTAGCGATACGAGATGTCGTGATAACGGAGAACCGGCACAATGTGCGCACAGCCGTGATCCGCGTTCTCCCAAGGAGAAGGACGATAAAGAAAGAGGTGACGAAGGTACTTCATACGCAACTTCCGATTAATGGTCGCGAAGATTTTTTTCTTTCCTTAACATGAGAACATTATTATTGCTGTTACACAGAGATGATTAAGGTGTACGATGGCAACAATTCTCTGAGGCGACGGATATTTCAGGTGATCTCGGTGCCGAGACAAGCTACAACAGAGGAGGTTCTCACATCGGCATTACACGCCTTTCACATTACTAAAGATCCCAGTACGTGAGATATTTTGTAATATATTAACATAGTAGGCATGTACAAGATGTCCGGGATCTTTTCGGAAACGAAAAATTGTGAAGACTAATGTTAGGAAATAATAAATGAAATAACTGGTTTGAGAGTTGCGTACATCAACATAAAGAATATTAATTCTTTATATATTAATGACAATTTGAGAATATAAAAATATTATAAATATGATTGTCAAATGTTAGACAATTCATATAAATTGATATTAACAAATCAAAGAAAAATTTTTATTGTCAAATTTATTTATTGTATTATTTATTGTAAAATACGAAGAAATTTGCAACAGAAAAAAAGTGTTAATAAATGCACAGAAATTGAAAACAATAATTTATTTTAAAAAAATAATAGCATACACTCAGTGTGTTGATGTCAGGAAAATAATAGTAAGATATTAGCAAACTTGAAGAAAATTGGTGGTAGAAATACAGAAGACGGCTTGGGCACACGCTGAGGAAATATATGCGGGAACACAGGAAAAGTTTTCGGTAAAAACATAAGAACTAGCAAACAGGAAAATAGAAGAAAAGCCCTGGCAGGGACTAAGGAACTAGGAATCAGGAACACAGAAGAAGGCTTCAACAGGAAACACAGGAATCAAAAGGCAGGAACACAGGAGTAGACGTTGGTAGGAACTCAGGAACTAGGAACCAGGAACTAAGAACTCAGGAGAAGGCTTCAACAGAAACACAGGAATCAGAGGACAGAAACACAGAAGTAGATGTTGGTAAAAATTCAGGAACCAGGAACTCAGGAGAAGGCTTCAACAGGGACACAGGAATTAGAAGACAGGAACAGGAGTAGACATCGGCAGGAACTCAGGAGCCAGTAACACAGGAGAAGACTTCGGTAAGATCTTAGGGAACAGGCGGCAGGAACCTAGGAGAAGACCTCGGTAAGATCTCAGGAAACTCAGGCGGCAAGAATGCAGGAGAAGAGCTTTGAAGACGTCTGGATCCTTCAGAAGTTGAAGACTAAATGAAGAGATCGTTTTTAGGAAGATGATCATGAATTCGCTCGTTAATATAAATATTTTGTTGTCAAGGAGTCAAGAACAAACGATGGTTAGAAAAGATTGACTCTGTAGAGTTGTCCTTTCTATATGATAGATCTTTAAAATTTTGGCACTGTTGCCGGTGATGAAGAGCTTTGAGCTCGAGGAGTCGTGGACTCGAATATTTCGATGGGCTTGCTATGAATTTAAGCCGAGGTTGAGCACTGAATTCGAATGAACTGCAAGGTTTTGCTTTGTTCGCAAGGACCGAGGTTGAGCGCTGAGCTCGAATGAACCGCAAGGGTTCAGTTTTGGTTGCAAGGACCGAGATTGAGCAGAGCATGAAGAGTTTAAGACTCACGCTGAAAATAAAAATTATTATATTGAAGGATATAGGTTAGTTTAGAATTAGATGTCTCATTTTCTTTCAATAACTAATCAGATTAAACTGAGAAAAAAGTCGTGTACCATTTTGCAAAAATCGCAATAATTATTAAACCATTAATGATTAAAAATAACCATATGTAGAGGCTCTTTTAATCAACAATTTGAAAATTTGCTTATTTGCAAAATAGTAAACGACTTTTTTGTTCAGAATAACCTAATTTACAATTATATGACAGCTATTGTGTTTAGTGATAGATATGAGTAGGTTGACTCCTGAATCTTGAACTTGTCGTTAGGCACAATAGTCGTTATATAATTATAGATTAGGTAATTCTGAACAAAAGAGCCGTTTACCATTTTATGAATAAATATTCAAATTTTCAAGTTATCAATTAAAAAGACTGGATGCGGTTATTTTATATTTATTTAATAACTTAATAACTATTGCGATTTTTGCAAAATGGTATTTGACTTTTGTTCTCAGTTTGGTATAATTAATCTTCGCAATTTTTCGTTTCCAAAAGATCCCGGACACCTTGTATATATATATGCAAATTTTGTCTGATAAATTCGCCAGAAACATCGATCTAATGAATTTCTGTCTTTCTCTTTCGCTTTTCTTCTTCCCCGTCAACGAAATTTAGACAATTTTTACTTAACTGACCTGTATGCCACCGACGAAACCGAGTTGTGCGATCCAACGCCTGTTTTAAATTTAAATCGCAAAGAAGGCAAACGTCCGGCTGTGTTCTTACGATTTAAGTAAGTTTACTTTTTAAATGGTGATTTTGGTGCGTATACATTGCATACTTGAAGTAAGAGAATTTTAATAATAAACATGCAATTTCTACGTGATTTCAGAAATAATAACAGCGGGGAAGTGCGAGTTTACCCTGATAAATTGCAAGTGTCAGAGTCTTTCTGCACAATACCTGTCACTGAAAAGACTACTGTCGCGGATTTGATAAACGAGGCGCTGGAAAGGTTCGGTTTGCAAAATTTTAATTGTGACGAATACAGATGCAGCGAGATTCTGTTGGATCGTGGTGGTAGGTCTCACTTTGTTCAGCTTGGCATGATTAACGCGCACTCGAATGTTCGCCGAAATCTTAGTCTGCGCGTTGTACGCGAGATTAAATCAGATCTCGATATTTAGTGACGGAGAGAGTTTTGTCCTGGGACGAGAAACCTTGGGAGATTGTCAAGCAACTGGGAAAGGATTCCATCAGACAAATGGAGCTGATGCGCTTTTACATTCAATTAAAACAAGATCCACATGGACCTAATCTGGCTCTGTTCATAGGCAACTTGCCGCCCAATCTTTCTGAAAGAAGCTACGAGAATATGTTAATAGAATTTTTAGGGAAAGGTTAGTGGTGAATCTGAAACAACTAGACGCACACATCATCTACAGAATCGAAAATAAGCCCTCACACATGGAACTTTCTCGATTGTTTAGAAAATAAATTCTCATCAATTGGTCCAATTTATTACGAATTTGGTTCTATGGTCATCATATACGAAGATTCTAATAAGGCGGTTAGAGCATTATACACGTTGCGGGAATCGAAACACGAGGACAAGCATCTTCTAGGTATGATTTACATTTTAATGTATTTCTTTGAAATTACGTCGATACACATGTATATCGTACGTATTTTCTTCTGCTAGTAATGCTTTTACCGAATGTCGAACCGAGTATGGTGCCATCGGGCGTTCAACCATTGCTCATATTCGTAAACTTAAAATCTGGCGGTTGTCAAGGACCTCAACTACTTTCTAGTTTTCGTAAACTCTTAAATCCTTATCAGGTGTTTGATCTTGAAAATGGTGGACCTTTACCCGGGTGAGTAAAATATGTATATTTTAGATATCCAGCAAGCACAAATATATAACAATTATATTGTCGTGATTTAACGTAATAAGACATGTAAGTTATAAGCAACATACATGTCAGTTGTAATTTCCCAGACATTTTACGAAATAACGTAAATGTAACATATCTATTAAAATGTTACCCATTTCCAATTATAAGTATAGAATTGTGTACGTTTGTTAGAAACGATTAGTCAAATATCATTTAATTTGTAGAAATGTTTCCAGAATTGCAACGACAATTTTATATAAAAAATGATATATGTTTAGCGTAATTACTTGCAAATTTGTTATGCCGGCGGGATAGTAGTCAGAGAGAGGGAGAGAGGGAGAGAGAGAGAGAAAGAGAGGGGGGAGAGAGAGAGAGAGAGAGAGAGAGAGAGAGAGAGAGAAAGAGAGAGAGGAAGGAAGGAGAGGGTGAGGGAGAGGGGGGAGAGAGAGAGAGATTGATTGATTGATTTGCCTTTATTAGCTTTCTCGGCTATTTGCATACATTTAATAGTATAACTTAATATAATAGCTAACTTAATAATAACTTACATCTAATATATATACTTTGAATTTCCTTTTATAATGCTCTACTTCTTATTTCTAAAGGTAATTCATTATACATCTTTATTCCTGTGTAGAACAAGCTTTTTTGTGCAGTGCTAGTCCGAACTTGGTATGACTCTTCTATTTATTCACAATATATTGGATCTGGGAAAAAGTTCGTGGCGTTCTTTTAGTAAAATTCAACTGGTTTTCTTATAGTGCGAAAATGAATTTATTTAAACCAAATATGCTCCATTATTATCGACAGTGTTTCGCCATTTTTCGGGTAGAGCCATGATGCCATCGTGAAGAACTTCTGTGGTTTCTGGTTGAAAAACTGAATCAAGTGGTTTTCACAGACTTCTTTTGAAACCAGCTTAATTCCATTGAGAGAATTCTGCAGAGATCGGAACAAGTGATAGTCAGAGGGTGCTATGTCTGGATTATACGGTGGATGCATCAAAACTTCCCAATCAAGCTCTCGCAATTTTTGACGGGTCATCAAAGAAGTGTGTGGTCGGGCATTGTCATGATGGAAGACAACACCTTTCCTATTATTCAATTCGGGCCGTTTTCTTTCAATTGCCTGGCGTAATCTCTCTAGTTGTCTACAGTAGAGTTGAGAATCAATGGTTTGATCAACTGGAAGTAGCTCATGGTGGATGATTCCCTTCCAGTCCCATCACACACACAGCATCACCTTTTTCTGGCTTCGCGTCCTGGCTTCACTCTTGTGACGGCTCACCATCCCTTATCCACGATCTTTTACGCTTCCGATTGTCGTACGTGATCCATTCTTCATTACCGGTTATGACATGTTTCAGAAATGGCTCGATTTCATTGCGTTTCAGCAGCGCATCGCAGATGTTAATTCGGTCTATCATGTTCTTCGCGCTCAACTCATGAGGAACCCATATATCGAGCTTCTTTTTGTAGCCAGCTTTGTGTAAATGGTTCCAAACAGTTTTGTGGTCAATGCCTAGTTCCATACCAATATTGACACTGCTGATATGCTTATCTTGCTGGACTTTTTCAAGAATTTCATTAGCTTTTTTAGTGATTGAACGACCAGAGCGTGACTCATCTTTCACATCAAAATTACCAGAACGAAAGCGAGCGAACCATTTCCGCGCAGCAGATTTTGATAAAGTACCTTCACCGTACACAGCACAAGTTTTTTCACAAGCCTGCGCAGCGTTCTTCCCTTTGTTGTAATAATATTGCAAAACGTAGCACAGTTTTTTATTACTTTTCTCCATTTTCAAACGCAAACAACTTTCCAACCATTGCACCAATTTCGATGTTTATACACTCAAAGTAACGTTCGAAGTGTCACCTTTCCAACGAGCGTTTAGTGGTGTCGCTACGATCTGTGTTTCCTGAGTTATTTGCAATTGACGCTATCTATCGGGAAAAACGCCACGAACTTTTCCCCAGACCCAATATTTTCCATAGAAAAACTGCGTTTTCTGCGGAGCGATGTTGACACGTCTGACTTCTCGAGAGAGAGCGAGAAAGAGGGGCGAGAGAGAGGGAGAGAGCGAGAGAGAGAGAGAGAGAGGCACAGGATTGATTTCAGATGATTAAATTCCGTGAACTATAAAGCTTGAGTTGTTGAATTGCTAATTTATTAAACAAATAACTAAAACACAGGATCCACTTCACAATAATTCACGCGTGCTCGGTTTACGACTATCACATTAACGCGTATGTCAAATCGCCTGATCCATTAAATAGCAAGCAGAGCGGTATAATGAGACGATGAAACTATGAGAAGCGTCTGGTGTCCATGCAAATGCATCAGCAACCAACTCGGGCTTAAAATTAGCCATTAGGCAAAGTCGCGCGGAATTGTCAAGAATCGACATAAAAACATAACACCTAGGATCAGTTAATAACTAGACAGCCAGTCGACAATTTGTCTCAGCTTTAGTTTTCTGTTTATAAACTAACTGATTCCTTGCCTGAATAGTAGAGATGTGCGAACTATTCGAATTCGAATCGAATTGAATCGAATCGAATTATATTAGATTCGATTCGAATCCGAATCCCTATGATTCGAATCCGAATAATTCAAATAGGAATCAAATACATTATCATTTGCGTGCATCAGCTACAAAACGGGCTATCTGGGCCTGTATGTTTGAACCCTTAACTTGTAATTAACTTAACTTATAATTAATAACTTAATTATAAATTACTTTAATTATTTAAATATATATTTTACTTTAAGATGATATTACAATATCAATATTCCCTTTCATATTAAAATCTTCCATCATTATTTGCATGTTTAATAGTCATGTTGAATTTTTTTATGATACGATTCGATTTCATTCGATTCGATTCGAATTCGAGTGAAATTTCATAGATTCGATTCGATTCGAAATCGGATTTAAAAAATGAGATTCGATTCGATTCGATTCGACGTAAAAATTCTTGATTCGCACATCTCTACTGAATAGTAATAATATATAATTATCTTGCTGTTCTAAATTAATCATTTGTTACAATGTATTCATCTCTATCACCATAAACGATATTTTAGGAGAAATATATTAATATATATGCAGGATCTCCCATTTTAAATGAGTCATGCAACAATCTCGAAAAATATGAAAAATACTAAGAAACGTTTCAGACAAAAGTTGTATAGTTTCAAAGGGGAAATTAAACAACTATATCATTTTGTTTACAGATAACGCCATTTTCGAGATATTTGCTAATTATTACTTTTCTTAAATGGAAATCTCAATTTTTTATTATATCATCTTTTTCTACTAATTAATTTGAACAATTTTTGTCTGAAACATTTTCTTACTTGTCTAATATTTTTTTAGATATTTTGAGATATTTGAAAAAAATTTGATAATTTTTTCAACATTTAACTTACGGTATCTCGCTAACTATTTGTTGAAGGAAAAAATAATACTAGACTTTTTTATCCTATTTAGTCACAAGAATATATTGTTACAATAATGGCCTAATTTTTGTTAACTTATCGATCTTTGGAAATAAAATCATCAAATTAACAAAAATCAGGGCTATTGTAACAATATATTCTTGAGGCCAAGTAGAGTAGAAAAAGTCTAGTACCACTTTTTCTTCCGATACAGTTAGCGAGATATCAGTTAAATATAAAAATAAAAAGTTAAATATAAAAAGTTACTAAATTTCCATAAAAATCTAAAAAAATATTAGACAAATAAGACAATTTCAAATAAGTGTTATAATTAATTAATAGATAAATATGATATAATAAAAAATTTGGGTTTCCATTTAAGAAAAATAATGATCTATGAATGTCTCGAAAATGGCACCATCCGTGAATAAAATGATATAGTTTGTTCTAAAATTATACAACTTTTGTCTGAAAAGTTTTCTAATATCTTTCGTATTTTTCGACATTTTTTACTTCGTTCATTTAAAATGAGACACCTTGTGTTTTACACACAAAAACTAAAGCCACCTAATGGACCATGCGACATTTGTACATGAAAAATATTACATGACGTACAAATGACGTAAACACTATATTCATTTTATAACGTATTGTGTTTAAACTATATTGACGTTATTCTGCCAGTTAACTCGCAAATAACAAAATAATATATCCGTTTTAGAACACAGTTATGTCGTAAACATGCAAAATCGATCATGTTACTTCAACATAAGCAATATAAGCATTCTAACGTTATACGTTTTATTTCATATTACATAGCAATTATATTCTGTGTTTGCTGGATCCGATGATAGATTGTATGTCTCGAGACGTGATACAATCACGAGAGCAAGTTGGAGAAAGACAAAGAAAGAGAAATACATTCCTTTGCGTTGCAGACTTTACGTTTTTCGGCATATAAAGGATTACAAGATACTGGTCTGTGGTGGAGATGGAACGATAGGTTGGGTGTTACAGTGTTTAGACAATGTTGGTCAGGATAGCGAGTGTTCTTCTCCCGCATGCGCTATCGTGCCCCTGGGAACAGGGAACGATCTCGCACGTACACTATGTTGGGGTTCGGGTTACACCGGAGACGAGGACCCGCTAGATTTATTGCGTGACGTTATCGATGCAGAAGAAATAAGATTGGACAGGTGGACTGTGGTTTATCACCCGCAAGAGACAGACGTAGGCACTGCTCAAGCAGTCGCTAATGCAGCTGGTGAGAGATGTGATTCTAACGTTTCATTTCAGGATTTCATTATCGAGATTACAGAACGGTATTTATAGTCCAATCATATATTTAAGATCATCTTAAGTTCTGTAGTTAATAAAATGGCTGTTACATCTGAGAGTGCGAACTTAAGGCGATCCCAAGTACAAGATCGGATTATGAACACCGTCGACAAATATGATCGTATTTCTCGATGAAGAAAAAGAAAAGGTGAAAAAAATGTTGCCGTGCATTTTTTTCTTAGTGAAAAAGAAAAAAATGTCACGGTGCCGTTTACTTATTCCAGGGGCATCGAGTGGCGAAGATAATGCCCAAATGTTTGTAATGAATAATTATTTTGGCCTCGGCGTAGACGCTGATTTATGTTTAGACTTTCATAACGCGAGAGAAGAGAACCCTAATAAGTTCAAAAGCAGATTACGGAATAAAGGCGTGTATGTGACGATGGGCTTGCGCAAAATGGTCAAGCGTAAGCCTTGCAAAGATTTGCACAAAGAAATTCGTTTGGAAGTAGATGGTAAATTAGTCGATTTACCACAAGTGGAAGGAATCATCATTCTGAATATTTTAAAGTAATTATTATTTTTTATTTAACGCCACAAAAGAAGAAGAGTATATTGCATCTTTTGTCTTAAACGAGCTTTCTCTTTCTTTCTCTCCTTTCAATTTAGTTGGGGCTCTGGTGCTAATCCCTGGGGACCCGATACGAAAGAAGATCAGTTTCATACCCCCAATCATTGGGATGGTATGTTAGAAGTCGTCGGGGTCACCGGCGTAATGCATCTTGGACAAATACAGTCCGGCTTACGCACGGGTATGAGGATAGCACAGGTGAGAATTTCGGTCCAAGTCGCCCAATGCTCAAGAAATAAAGTCCCGGATAAATTATAATCACAAAATTTGTCATCGATGCAACTGCAACTGCGTGCATGGGTATATACAGGGTATCCAAAAAGTTCCGGACCGGTAAAATATCTCGAAAATAAGATATTTCAGAAAAAATGTTCCATATAAGAGTTGTATGATTGGAAGGGGGCATAAAACAACTATATCGGAAGAAAAAGTGGTACTAGACTTTTTTACTCTATTTGGTCTCAAGAATGTATTGTTACAATATCGCCTTGACTTTTGTTAATTTGATGATTTTGAAATTTCCACAAGTCGATAAGTTAACAAAAGTCAGGGTGCTATTATAATAATATATTCTTAAAACTAAATAGAGTAAAAAAGTCTAGTATCACTTTTTCTTCCGACAAATAGTTACTGTAAGTTAAGTATTAAAAAAGTTATCAAGTTTTTCTCAAATATCTCAAAATTAGGCAAATAAAAAAAAGTTGTTCAAATTAATTAATAGAAAAAGACGGTAATAAAAATATGAGGTTTCTATTTAAAAAAAGTAATGATCAATGAATATCTCGATAGTGAAGCCATCTATAAACAAATTGATATAGTTGTTTTATGTCTCTCTTGAAACCATACAACTTTTGTTGGAAACAAATTTTTTTCTAAAATGCTTGGTTTTCGAGATATTTTACGGGTCCGGGATTTTTTGGACACCCTGTATATGATGTATATTCTCGCTCATTCTTGACGCATTTCGAACGACAGGGCGGGCACATAAGAATGAACCTGAACTCTGATATACCTGTACAAGTGGACGGTGAACCGTGGATCATGAGTCCGGGAGAAGTCATGGTCCTGAAGTCCGCGCTCAAGGTAATATCTCGTTGTAGAATCTCACCGAGAACCCCATAATTCCACAAAAATAACCGACAGAATGTAACGTAGAATCACATGTCTGTTGAACACAATGGTTTGCAATATGTCAAGATCAATATATATGTGTTGATAATCCCTGATAACTGTATGAAGTGTATACAAAGAAAATGTGACCACCCTTTTCTCTTACTGTTCGGGTTTACGTAGAATAATGGGGCGTAACGTACGTTCTTTTTTTTGTGGCACGTATACTTTTTACAAAAGCATCTGTATGTATTGGTTTATAATCCTTTTATTTCGTTTCACATTTTACATCAATGCTCTCTACATATTCTCCGTAAGAAAGCGTAACCTGATTGCTGACACTCATCAGCGCATGCTTTCCTTTCCTTTATTGCACTCGACTAATATTTTCCTTGTTCCTTTGTTCACTTCAGGCTACCATGTTGAAGAAAAATAAGATCAAGCGTCGCAATACCGAACCATCGATTCTACCTGCTAATGGGGAGGGGGGCAAGAGCACGGACGAGTAATCCAACCATGCCACAGCTTATAACCGCTTGCTCGCTCGTTTTTAGTCTCTCTCTCTCTCTTTCTCTCTCTCTCTCTCTCTCTCTCTCTCTCTCTCTCTCTCTCTCTCTCTCTCTCTCTCTCTCTCTCTCTCTCTCTTGTTGTGGACACGCGCGCGCGCGAGATTTCAGCCTAGGCTCTTCGCGATGTGTGCGCGTGAACGCGCATATGCAAAGCGGAAGCCTCGGCATAATGAACGTGCCGTCTGAGCGATTCATCTATGGAAAAAGAAGCAAGAGGATAATAAAATAAAAAGGGAAATATCCGGTCCCTCCTTGTTGATGCATGTAAAACCGATCAACTTCCGTAATGATTGTCGTAATGATGCCTCAATCCAACGCAACTAGCTCGAGCTTGTAATGTGTGGATTAGAGCATTCTATTACCGGATAGTAATATTTAGCTTTTATGAGAATAACGTTTCTTCTTCTTCTTCTTCTTCTTCTACTATTTCTTTCCCTTCATTTTCTATATATGACATGATTCGTTGATCCTGAGTTCGTAATTTCTATTTCTATTTTCTATCTCGTCAATGGCATTGACTGACATTTTTTATCGACTAGTCCTTTGTGCATTCCTTGATCCTGTCCCTTCCTAGGCGACGATGCTGAAGAAGACGAAGGGTAAAATGAAGCGACGGAACACTGAATCCAGCATGCAGTTGGCGCTACAGGCTGCACCACCGAACGAACCGGACACGGAAACCTTCTGAGTGAATGAAGAAACATTATGTGAAAGTGAATGAGAATATGTTGCCGTGATCGCAAGCACGTAGCCGCGCAGAGGACTCGATCTCGATTAAGCACAGTAATAATTGGCCTTTGAAATCGTCCAACGGCGGTTGCGCCCTGCACGAACTTAAACATAAGGCAAATACAACGCGAGAGGAAAAAATGAGAATCGAATAAACTCGACGAGAAAGCAGAGGGGGACAGGTAGATGAGATTTTCAAGTTACACGGACACATGTAAAACATATACACAGCATAAAAAATTCATAATGATTCTTAATGTTTGTTCTTACATTAATAGGAAGGAGAAAATAGATCTCATTTTTAAATGTTAATAATTATAGCACTGTACGTAGCTCTCTTACCAATCAATATTGTTTTAGTAAAATTATAATAGATCTTGACGGTATACATACACGACCATAGGCACACGCGACATACACACAAAACACGCATACACGCACTTGTTTACAGAGTGGTTTGAAAACACTTTTCTTCTATATATTTTCAAGACTCGGTCAATGGGACATTTTGTAAGAATCATTTAAACAATTGTCCCGTTGGATGTCAGCTACATTTCGAAATGCATCGAAGGGAGTGTTCAACCGTTCTGCCAATGAATGTACGCACATACATATACATATACAAGCAAACACAACACATTAAACAGTATTGGAGGAAGCTACGCGTTTACGCGTGCTCATGATGATATTAATTTATAAATATATATATACAGGATGTCCCGTTTTAAAAAACGCACCCCGATAATTCTTCAACGAAGCATTTTCAGCAAAAATATTTCGGACAAAAGTTGTATGATTTCAAGGGAGAAATAAAACAACTATACTATTAGTTTACAAATGGTACCACTTTCAAGATATTTATTGATCATTTTCTTAAATGAAAACCCCAATTTTTTATTACACTGTCTTTTTCTACCAATTAATTTAAACAACTTTTATCTGAAACATTTTTTTATTTGCCTAATATTTTTTTTAGATATTTAAGGAAAACTTGATAACTTTTTCAATATTTAACTCACGGTACCTCGCTATTTGTTGAAAGAAAAAGTGGTACTAGACTTTTTTTATTTACCTGGTCTCAAGAATATATTGTTACAATAGCGCCCTGACTTTTGTTAATTTGATGATTTTGAAATTTTCAAAAGTCAGTAAGTTAACAAGTCAGGGCACTATTATAACAATATATTCTTGGGATTAAATAGAGCAGAAATGTTTAATACCACTTTGTCTTCCGACAAATAGTTCGCGAGATATCGTGAGTTAAATATTGAAAAAGTTATTAAGTTTTCCTTAAATATCTTAATAAATAGTAGGCAAATAAGAAATGTTTCAGACAAAAGTTGTTTAAATTAATTGGTAGAAAAAGACGGTGTAATAAAAACTTGGGATTTCCATTTAAGAAAAGTAATGATCAGTGAATATCTCGAAAGTGGTGCCATGTGTAAACAAAATAGTATAGTTGTTTTATGTCCCCTTTGAAATCATACAACTTTTGTCCGAAATATTTTTGCTGAAGATGCTTCGTTGAAGAATTATCGAGATACGTTTTTTAAAATGGGACACCCTGTATATGTATATGTATATATTTATATATTTACGTTCCAAGCTTCATAATTGATGACGAGAAAGGGAATTCGTGTGTAATGTATATTTACGTTTCGTATGGTATTTTGCAGATCTTTTTCTACACACAGAGTTATTACGATACGAAACGTGAAACTCTGGACGAATATAAAAAAGAAAAAAGAATAAAAAAGAAATTCAAGCAGATCAGTTGTTAATGACATATTATAGAGTATTTATGATTAAATATTAATATTAATATATTTACATAATATTGTATTAGTACGACTTTAAGTTGTGATAATTGATTGTTGTGTATGTCTGGCTGCTGGGCAGTCTGGAATTCGTTAAGAACCAGTGGCAGTCAGAGTTTCCTAAAGTATGATTAATAAGCACAGATATAAATTAATATATCTTTTTCGTAAAACGATAAGGTCACATTGCGATGATCTTCCTGATGATCTTTGTTTTTGCTATCTTTTTCCTCTTGTAGGACGTTGTCTTGTAGGTCGTTAACATATTACAACGCCCCGCTCTTCTGTTGTCCTTCTCTCTTTCCTTTGGCATAGTTCGTGTATACAATATATTTCTGCGCTCATCGCCCTTTTTTGTCATATTAGTAATGGAATGTGTGTTGTTGATGGCACTGCCAAACTTCGTCGTCGTGGGAGATTGTCAGAGCTCCGAGTTGCCAGTCACTTTGCTAATCCGACTTGGATGCTAAACGCTTTGCCGATCTGTCTCTACGCGGCGGGGACGAAATACGAGAAGAAAGGACAGAGAGAGAGAGAGAGAGAGGGAGAGAGAGAGAGAGAGAGAGAGAGAGAGAGAGAGAGAGAGAGAGAGAGAGAGAGAGAGAGTGTGTGTGTGTGTGTGTAACGGCGGGCAGTGTACGCAAAAAGCGTCCGAGTCGGATTGGCAATGTGATTGGCAACTCTGACGGAGCTCTGACAGTCTCCCACGACGACGAAGTTTGGCAGTGCTATCAACAACACACATTCCATTACTAATATGACGAAAAAGGGCGAAGAGCGCAGAAATATATTGTATACACGACCTATGCCAAAGGAAAGAGAGGAGGACAACAGAAGAGCGGGGCGTTGTAATATGTTAACGAACCTACAAGAGAAAAAAGAGAGCAAAAACGAAGATCATCAGGATTGAGTGATGTACGAGAAGACAGGACACGCGAATCAAAGGCAATATATTGTTTATGAGCTACCAAAGTTCCCATATCTCTTGGTGCATTAAACGAACACACACAACACACATACATATACAGGGTGATTCAGAATTCCTATTACACACTTCTAGGGGTTATAGAGGGGACTTAGTAGATAAAGTTTTGATAAGGAATCCATGTCTGGAAAACGTACCGTTTCAATGCTACAATAATAAGATCGAATCAATTATGGTACATTTTCGGACATGAGTTCCTTATCAAAACTTTATCTACTAAGTCCCCTCTACAACCCTTAGAAGTGTGTAATAGAAATTCTGAACCTTATATACACACATGCACATGACTATCACAATACATCGAGTGTGATCTACTGATTCTCGAAGCACACGACACGAACATATACTTAAGCTCTGATGTCGCCCTCTCACATGCTGGGGATAATACGTTCGTATTGGATTTTCCTTCGTTAGCATTGCGCGACCGGGAAGAAAGAAAGACAAAATAAAAAAGACAACTTCGGTGCCAAAGAATTGTACATAGTATTATAAAAGTGTAGGGACTGTTATATAAAATATCAGTGTAATCGCGATGGCATTTAATGCGAAAATGTCGATGGACGACGAAGGAGAAGAGTGAGAGAGAGAGAGAGAGAGAGAGAGGGAGGGAGGGAGGGGGAGAGAGAGAGAGAGAGAGAGAGAGAGAGAGAGAGAGAGAGAGAGAGAGAGAGAGAGAGAGAGAGAGAGGACGAGAGAGAGAGAGAGAGAGAGAGAGAGAGAGAGAGAGAGAGAGAGAGAGAGAGAGAGAGAGAGAGAGAGAGAGAGAGAGAGAGAGAGAGAGAGAGAGAGAGAGAGAGAGAGAGAGAGAGAGAGAGAGAGAGAGAGAGAGAGAGAGAGAGAGATGTATGATGCAACGTGCGCGTGCGAAGTGCAGGGGGAGTACTTTCTACTTCGCGGGGAAGGACCCTTTTTGAATTACGCAATACGGTTCGTTGTTGCTCGTTGTGTCAGTGTTGATAAGAAGGACAAAAGGAGGAGACAGCGCGTACCTTTGATATACTGTGAGAAAGTAAATCAAAGGAAGAAACGGTAGAGGACTCTTAGTATGCTTTTAGTACGCGCTGTGAACTTAGTTAATTATGTAATTAGACCTTTCTTGGATGTTTTCATTTATGAAAATAATTATCAAGAAATTAATCATTTATAAGCTACAAAATTTCAAACGGAGGCGGTCATGCCCGGATGATTGATCGGGCCTCCGTGTATTACAACCTGCCGGCGATGCGGGCTCAATCGTTCATGTTCTTATATCCGGTGTGTCGATACATGAATGGCGCATCAACGGTAGATTGGAGAGTGAACATTTGTTAATCTGACCAAACTATATATATATATATATATATATATATATATATTTGCTGTTGCTATAAAAAATAGAGAAAAAATAAGCTATGAATAATCTATGTATAATAAATCAATGTATGTGCTACAAAGACGGTTATTTGCTCATTTATTTGTTCTCTTGGATTTTTACGTCAACCTGCGTTTTCTGCGACCTCCCTCTTTACATCTACTGTTACGTTCATGACCGAATTGTGTCGTAGCGATGTTTCTTACTTATGCTTGTGTACCGCTAGTTGATGTAACTGTTAATTATAATTTCCCACTCGGAAATGTAACTTTTATGTAACATACGTGTTACGTTGTATTTACGTTGTCGAGTGGAAAGTTATGACCAACTGTTATGTTGCTGTTACTTGGTATTTGCTGGTTGTACACTCGACCCTGCGAATACCTACTGATAGTTACTAAAAGTTTTCAGTCAGTCATATTGGATCTTAGCTATGAATATTTCTCACTTTATCTTCGGCCTAACAATTACGTATCAACCGTGACTGGTCAAGTCTGTTTAACGACAGATGTGTTTAGTCAATTCTGATAAAATAATTGGCCGATTAAATTAATCGAGGATGGTTGATTTAATTTGGCAAAAAGCGCCAAAAGAATTCAGTTCGTGGCTCTTTGCGGGCGACCCAGACATTAAGAATTTCTTTTTGCCTTCATTCAAATTTGTTGTGTGATTTTACATCAAGATTTTCAGAGCCCTAGTCCTTCGCCGTAGAACTCTTGGTTGACGGTGTCAGAAGTGAAGAAATTCATATTAAACACTGTTACGGATTAAAATATACTCATAAAGTGATATTCAATTCGTTCAATTTCTTTCCCCCTATCCTTTTAATTTTGCAAAATTAAAAAATTTCATCAGGGCAAAAATTAAAGAGCATTTGATACCAAATCCATCCATATACAGGGTGTCCCATTTAACCTGACAAATCGTAATACCTGGAAAACTACATGTCGGATCAAAGAAAGTGGATAATAAAATTTGTTCATCTCGAAGGGGGACATCCAATTATATCAAACTCGACCTCCCACCCCACTCCCGGGGGATGGGGGTGGGGGGCAACTTTGAAATCTTAAATGGAAACCCCTATTTCTTATTGTAGATTCGGATTCTACGCCACAAAATACGTAAGTTTCGTCCGAAACTTTTTTTTTATTCGTGATAGATGGCGCTGTAATCGCAAAAAATTAGATTTTCTGCAATTCTCCAGAAATGATCATTGGATTGAAAAATAAAAACATACCTGTTCAATATTTTTAAAAATATTTTTAAAAAACATAACAGTTATTACCCCCATCCCCTCGGGGTAGGGTGGGTGGTAACGTTTAAATCTCAA